ATGTGAGCACCCAGCCCTGATGAAACTGGCCAGATCTGACACGTCCACCTATGAGAGTCTGGTATTTGTGACTGGCATTGTCCTGCTCCTCATCCCTTGTTCCATCGTATTAGCCTCCTACACTCGCATCCTCTCTACGGTCCTGAGGATGAAGTCAACCAAAGGACAGCAGAAAGCTCTGGCCACCTGCTCCTCACACCTGACTGTGGTTTGCATGTTTTATGGGGCAGCTCTCTTCATGTACATGAGACCCAATGCCTACCACACACCAGAGCAAGACAAAATTGTGTGTCTGTTTTACACCGTTGTCACCCCAATACTGAATGAAGAGATGACAAGGATCCCGGCAAGTGCATGGAAGTGGCTAGGCCTTCTCCTTGCTTTCTGCTGCTCTTGGTCATAAAGGCTTTCAGATGAGCTCTCTCTCACCGGGCGCAGATTTCATAAACATTGTAGAAATTATAGACATTAGGGCTGGAAGGGACCTTGGAAGATCATTGAGTCCAATTGATCACGGGCCCTGTTACTCATTAGGAAGAGCAAGCAGGGAGCAAACACCAGCACGCATTGCTCACAACAGCTTTATTCAGAATGGAAACAGCTTTGGGTGAGCTCCCTCACAGACACCCAGCCCAAGAAACCAGGGGAGCAGCCCTGAACAATAGTTTTCCCCTACTTTTATCCACTTTGGTTTATACTCAATAACATTCACTCCACCCGCTTCTGTTCCCCCCATTTCTCCTCCCATCTTAAGCTCCGCCTCTGTTTACTGTTTGCTTCATAAGCATGGAATATATAATCTGCTGGCAACTCACTCCCCTGGCTTGTTTACTTTTCATCCCATCCAGGAAGAGCACACACCAACTGCTGCAGCTTCCTGAGCCTGACAAAGGGTTTTTGAACCCGAAAGCTTGCTAAATAACTATTCTCCAACTATTTGGGTTGGTTTAATAAAAGATATAATCTGTCTGCCTATGTCCTTAGACCAACACGGCTACAACCTAAACCCCTGGAATTGCCTATGCATTTCATTCATTTACATGCCTTTTTGCTATGAGCGCATGTCCAAGGCCATGAACCTTCTTCTTTCAGTCAATGGGCAGACTTTGACCAAAATCTGGAAGCTTCTTCACCAATCACCAGTCACCCTTTTGCATATGTTCATCTCAGATTCTGTTACCAATTGCATGTTGTTTTTCACATTCCAGTCTGTTTTTCTGTCCCACATTGTACCATCTTCCACATTCCTAAAGTTTCACCTCATTCACAACACACAGGCTCACACAGACTCACTTAAAAATAGTTGACACAGTTAAGATGGTTACTTAGCATAAGCAAATGGCTGGCTTAGCTATCATTCTGCCTTGTGGTAGGCATTTTTTTCTAAGCCACAGGTTAAACCCTTGTATATGGCTGCAAATCCAGTGCTCACCAAGATCAAAATATTGTCACCCTAACAGTGTAGACCTCTATCCTCCCAGTCC